CGGCACGTACAGCCGAGCCAGTGCTATGTCAGGGTCTGAATGGTCGTTAGAGATCCCCTGGCACTCTGGGAGAGAGCAGGGTGAGGAGCTGCAGGGAAGTTTCCATGCCTTTTGCAGCTGCTTCTGCACACGGAGTGTGTTCCCAGCAACAGGTACAGCCACATAAAACACGCCTGGACTCTGGGACAAATGCAGTCTCTGTGGGACTGAGTCCCGGGTTGAAGGACCCTCTCCTGCAGAGGCCTGCCCGGGGCGATGCGTGTAGAGGCTTGTTTCTTTTGTAGTTTAAAGCTGTGGTCAAGCATCCTGACATAGGGCCGGCTTTGAACAGCAGAATGATTTTGGACAAAGTCCAAGCTCCTGCCCGACCCCATTCACTCACGGAATGAGGCCCTTGGATCCCCCTGGGCTTCCAACTGGCAACAGCAGAAGGGACTGGAGAATGAGTTCCCATGAGAAGACGTTTTAAAGGGTGCCCGAGGTACTTGTGGGCTTTCAAAATCGTTGTCTGCTGAGCTACAGCCCCAGATTCGGCTGCGCCGTCGTCGTCACTGTGTTTGGTTTTCCCTGCCCTTGGAGCTGCAGCCTGCAGTTATGCCCTGTGCCGGGGCTGGCCGCAAGCAGTGCCGCTTCCCTGTGTTACAGGGCTCCTTCCAGCCCGTGGAGGCAGGACACGGTGCTGACTGCTGCCTGGGATCAGAGCGGACTGGGGGACAGGGACGCTTGGGGAAGCGTTTGTGAGCGGCAGGTTCGCCCCCGCCGGTGCCACGAGAGCGGCTTTTCCCTGGGTCTGCCTGTAGGACTAAGGAACGGGCTCTGCAGGAGCTGTGTGAGTTCAGATCCTGGCTGCCTGCTGGGCCAGACACGCCGGGAGTGCCACTCGGATCCACTCGGAGCAGGCGCTGGTTGCTCGCATCCTGACTGCCCGTGGGCTAAAACATTGAAAAGCGAGGGGAATATTGCCAGGGTAACCCAAGTGTTGGCCTGACCTATAGCCCTTCCAGAAACACACACTGGAAATGTTTCTTTTAAATGCTGGTAGGTGAGACGGAATCCAAAGGCGATTCCAGGGAAAAGCAGACCAGCCAGTTGGGCAGGGCTGGCGGAGCGTATCGCTGCGGGCTGCCGTGTCCATTGTGCCCCTAAGGATGCCGCCTCCTCTTCTGTTCCAGTCTGACATGCAGACCTGGGAGGAGCAAAGCCAAGGAGCCATCTACACGGTGGAGTACGCCTGCAGGTAGAGACTCCTGCGAGCAGGAGGGCTGTGCCAGCCAGG